GACCAGTCAGGAAAGGGTTTGTTTGAATTCTAAAGAATCCCACGTGTTACTCTTGTCACTTGTGCAAACACTAAAATATGTCAGTAATGGGGAAGATTCCAAATTTTAGCTAGTCTGGCTTTCAAGAAAAAGTTGAAGATACAGAATGACTGATGAAACAAGCCTTGTCATTATAGAATTCCATGTTCAGCCTTGACAGCTCAACCTGATCCCAGCACTTAAACCATGGCTACTTTTGCCTCTCCGCCCAATAGGAAAAAGGCCAATGAGGTAAAGAAGTTCTCCCAGGAGTCTTCTAGTACAAGGGTTCATGCGGTGGTAATAGGCTACTATCAGAATATAATACTATTATAAGGTACAGTATATAAACACAGGAAGCCCCATTGAAGATGGTCAAAAACAAAAGTTCTAGTCCCACTTTAGGCATGAAAGCCAGCTAGGTAAGTTTAGGCCAGACACTAGGAGACTGTAAGATCTAGTCCCGCCTTAGACATGAAAGCCAGCTAGATGACTTTCCAATCCCCAGAAGATTGTGAGTTCTAGTCCAGCCTTAGACATGAAGGCTGGCTGGTTGGCTGACTTTGGGCCAATTATTTTCTCTCAGTCTAAGCCAACTGAAAGGGTTGTGGGGAAAATGGAGGAAAGAGCATTAGGTATGTTAGTTATCTTGAGTTATTTATAAAAATAATACAGGCCAGATAAAAATACATCAGTAAAATACAGATGAAATATCTGCATGAAAGCAACCAAGCTCAGAGCACCAAGAACTCCACGGATTATATATTTTCTCAAAACTGCTGGAAAAAAAAAAAAGGTCGACTTAATAGCTGATTGAACTGTGCAAATGTATGCATGTTATTGTGTCCAACACTTTCAGAGTGAAAACAGATTGTGCCAGAGCCAAACTGATGTGATGCTTAAAGGAATTCTGAAGAGAATGTCTCAAGGACCTGTTAAAGCTCTTTGCAGAGCACACACAAAAAAATAACAAATAGATACACTAGGAAAAGCAGTTAGACATTAATTTTTTTTATTAATTTGTTTGACAATATTTCTAATCCACTCCAATACAAAATGATCCAGGATCCTGAAATAATACTGTCTAGGGAAGGGGTGTAGGGAGACAGGGAAAAACAAAACAAAACAGGGCAGAATGGAGGTTTCCATCTTTCAAAGTCTACTGATCCAGAGTTCCCAAAAGGTTTTATCTCTGTCTATGCTGGCTGGGACTGATGGGAGATGAAGTCCAATATATTGGATGGCACCCTGGCGTTTTCCATGGAAAAAACAAGGCTCCCCTTAGGGGCATGAATTATTCATTGCTTTCCCCCAATGTTCAGGTTTTACATAGGTCAGACCCTTCATATTTTCTTTTCCCATTTGGAGCCAGGATTTTATTCCTTATTTACACTGTGCAGGAGGAGAGGTTGATGGACGTGAATATCAACTGAAGCACTGTGGAATTGTGTTGATGTCATGGATATTGCACACGTGTACAAAACTGCTTTCCTTTGCATGATTTGAAAAGAAGGAGTGAAACACAGGTCGTCCTTGACCACAACTTTGACCACAATTTCTGTTGCTAAGCCAGGTTTTTATTGATTTTATGACTTTTTTTTTGCTCTTAAGTAAATCACTGCAGTAAAATGGGCATTGCAAAGCACAAAAATGGCCGCCGCCACGCCACTGGGCACAGAAACAAGGCACTGCGCCACGCAAGAATGGGGCAGGGCTAGTGAGTATCATGCGGGCACTAGCCCCGCCATGATTGCAGCATGCATGTGCTTGCAGCCCCATGCACATGCACACGCAGATATGTAAAATACTTCCCTCTCCCTTTTCCTCCAGTCCGCCAACCGACCAAGGTTGGTGGCCTCTGCTCTAAAGTATAGGAAATCAAATCACATTTATCTTGTGAGAAAATCAAACAAACAGCTTCCAATTATAGTGATGTTTACAGACAATGCTAGAAACAAACCAATTATACAGAACCTCCAGATCTATTGAGTTTAACTCTGGGACCGACAATTTAAGGTCTTCCCAATTGGACTAGAGATCCTAGTGTTTTGCTGTTTATCATAATGGTTGTGTTTAGTGAGGGCTGAAACAAGCACCCCAATGCTTAGCAGAATCTGTTTTTACCTTTTACTGTTTAAGCTATTGACCAATTATTGAAAAACAACACTAAACATTGGCTGAGAAAGAGAATACCGTAAACGCTAACCGATTTTCAATCGACATTAAGTCCCCTCTTTTGTTCATCTCTTCCCAAAATCCAGTTCTTGCATTCATTTGTTTGAAAGAAGAGATTCTTCATTTAGAAGTATGTTCCCCTTGAATTCAGTGCAAATAGTGCATCTTTCCCATATCAAATATAAAAAAAAACAATTCTGCTTTATCTGCTTCATTTACAAGCTCACTGTGACTTTTGTGGAATCAGTACTACAAACTGAAGGAAAGCTAAGCATCTAGAAACAGGATAACCCAGGATTTTCCCCCCCTCTGATGCAACTATCAGTCACTAGGAATAATCCATTATGTTTATGAACTCTGGAGTTAGACCAGGTTTTTTTTTTGACACATTGAAATGAAAGAGAGAAGGAAAGTAGGCAACTTCCAAAGAGAAGGAAACCAACAATAGCAATAACAAAGGGAACAAGGCAGGGCACGACTTTGTTGGCTATTCAAAGGGCTACTTAGCAAATAGGAGGTGGAAGGAATTGACATCCAAGTTATTTTTCCCTTCTTCATCCCCTTTTGATTTACACGTCCCTCTCTCCTAGCAACTCGGTTGTTTAAAAATCTTAAAGATGACAAAAGCAGTAAGCAACAAAAATGAAGAACAGACGACGAGAAGGACAAAACTGGATGGAAGCAAAGGAGAACAACCTACACCAAGGGTAGGCAACCTTGGCATCATCTATCTCCAATCTACAACACAGTCCTTTCAGCAGTTCCAAGAAGGCTCCAGACCCATTTGCACTGCTTAGGTGACCCTGAGGGTACAGATAAACCTCCAAGTGGCCTCAACTACTCTCTAAAAGAATGCAATTGACCAGCTGTCTGCAAGGAATATAAATCCTTCCATTCCCCGACTAGTCAGAGCTGAAGAAGCTTCTTGGATGAGAACGAAAGAGCTTCAAAGAAAAACAAGAAAGTCCAGTTGCCTCTTGAAAAAACACCTCTGGGACAACCATGACCTGGATGACTGAGAATCTCCATAGACGTTCCATAACTTATTTCATCAATTCTAGTGGTTCTATTTGAACATAATGTTAGGCTTGTTGAATAATCATTCTGGTAGGTTGTCCTTGTGGCTTACCATGTTGTGGGAACTCAGTCTGTTCGGTTAATTATTATTTCAATAATGCCAGAAAATTAATTAAAATTATTTCAGAAACCAATTAAGCCTGTTGAGAGAGTGTAACATAGCTCTTGTTGTTAACAAGCACAGTGGAACAATTTTGTTGCATTTAGGTTTATTGGTGGGCTATCTAAAATTGATCAGTTGGCCAACGAGCAAGCAGGATGCTGGATTAGATAGTTGTTTGAGCAAATATAGCTCCTTCTTAAAGAATCCTTCTGATTCTTCTTAAATCATGATGTTTAGAATAGGAATATGCATTATTAATCCCATTTTGGATTCATACTGAAGGTCCAGAAACTGAGATGAGTTCCTAGGATGGGCTATGGTTTGTCCATTGTGACACAGAACTGCAAACTTGCCAAAAACTCTTTAGGTTTTTGGTGTGCTCTTATAGAAGATGCTGTTAGCTCCTGGATCCTTTCATGTTCTTTGAGTCTGAGTATCTCATCAATATCTCAGCTGGTATTTAATTTATTGATACTACTGAACAGTTAGTTAATGCTGAGACATTTTCTCTCCCCACCCAAAATATCTCAGAGATTGAGGAAGTTATAAAGAGGTAAACCTTCTAAAATTGGGCAGTACATTGGGTGCTTATTTTCTTCTAAAGCAACTTTTCCTAACACAACCCCATATTAACATATCAAATCCCACCAATATCATGGGAATTGCAGTTCAATGGACTAGAAGGGCTGGACTATAATTGTAGTTTGCATTGAAATTAAATTCTTTTTGTAACAACATATATACCTTTGGGGGGGGGGCATTGTGAAACATCCTATCTTTATTGGAAATTGCATTCTCTGTTCCTTCATATTATCCAATGTTAAAATACAAACATTGGTTCACATTGTACAAACTTGTTCAAATTCATCCTCACCATTTAAAGGATTTAGTTCAGGATGCCTTGTAAGCTTATCTATTTCCTAGTGAGCTTAATTTTTCACTCCAAGATATATGTGTATGCACCCATGCTTAAAACGGACACAAATTCAGATTTCTTTTAAAAGCAATATTCGGGATATGGACTCAAGTGATTATATATATATATATATATATATATATATATATATATTGCAATTCAACTATTGTGACCTAACTGCAGAAAAAAAGAGAAATCTCTTGGGGCCAAATTATATATTATTTTAAAACAAACTTCCCATTTATTTTTTTGTTTTGTTGATTCTTCTGGGAGAACTGGATACATACAGTTTATTTTACTTCTTTCCACATGTACAACTACACCCATACGCATGTACATATGCCTAATATTGGGGCAGGGTTGAGGAGAGAAGCAGAGAATTACATTTCCTGTTGCAGGGATTTCCTTCCAGTTTGTGAACCTCAAAAACACTAAATTGTAATTGTGTGTGTGTGGGGGGAGAAAGATTTAATTCCAAGAGCTACTGGTTTTTGTTACTTTTACTTGTCTTTGAGGTGTTTCTTCCCTGCAAAGTAGCATTTGAGCACTAAGTATTCCTGCAGATGTGGATGAATTGGGAGGGTGCAATTTCAAATGTCCTACTGCAGTATAGTTTTTCAAGTTCTGTGCTCTTAGGTAACTGCAAAGACCTTCCCTAGCTCCTAAAATGTTGGACTTCAGAGAGAAAGCAAAGATTCAAGCAATCCAGGCTCATTTCCAATATGACCTTTATTGAGCACAAACGGCCGTGACTGTTTTACATCAAACAACAAAAGGTTGCATACTGTGCATGTCAACGTAGGTTCTCTCACGGACAGAAGTCCACCTTAATTGCACCAGTGAGGTAAACATAATTGTTAAGTAGCTTAAGGCTAGGGGAATTCAGGGTATTTATTTTTTTTTAAATTCATTATTTTGTTATTGTTTATTTGGCTCAGTTTATTCTTTGCATAATACATCTGAAGACATTCCTCAGAAGCGTCCAAACAGCAGCTTAGGAAAATTCAGCAACATCCCCTGGAAGAGTAACAGCTCATGCATGATATTTTGTTTTTTAAAAAGAAAATCCCCAAAGTTCTGCAGAGGGAGTGCACCGGGCTTGCATGCATCCCCTCCCCAACCCCTGGGTATGGTATGGCACAGAAATCATAAATAGATCAGAAAGAAAACCAACGGTCCTTTTGGAGACGCCATGAGAGAACCTGTTCTGCTGAGAAGCCGCCACTTTCATGCATTTTTGCAGCTGTCGTATGGCTTAACCTTTTGCACCAATCCAAGCTCTTTAGAGAAGGGGAAATGATTATTTTTAGTCACCGTTTTCCTTGATTTCTTTGATTATGGCATGTGAAGAAGTCACCTTCTCCACTGTCTTGGTGGACACCACTTTCTCTGCCACGGTATCGTCGTGGTCTTCCATCTTCTGGGTGACAGTTACGGACTTGGTGATGTAGGTGGTGGTCCCATCACCTTCACTGGTGACCTTCTCCACTTTTTTCGTCACCACGACTTTCTCTTCACTCTTCCCTTTCTTCTCCTCCTCAGAAGGACTCACATCCAGACCATTGGTGATGATACCTTTGTCTTCTTCTTTCTTGGAGTCATCTTCTTCCTCCCTCTTATCGTCAACCTCCCCATTGACTGCTATGTCTTCTTTAGTCGATTCCTTGGAAGTTTTCTCACTTTTCTCTTTTGATTCTTTTTCTGCACCAACGGTGGAAGCCTTTGTGGTGGAGATAACCTCTTCCACATCTTTCACTGGGGAGCTTGGCTTTTCAGGAGAAGCAGCTTTATCTGGAGTCCCTGCCTTCTCTGGAGAGGCTGCCTTCTCTGGAGTACCGGCTTTCTCTGGAGAGGCTGCCTTCTCTGGAGTACCTGCTTTCTCTGGAGAGGCTGCCTTCTCTGGAGTACCTGCTTTCTCTGGAGATGCAGCTTTCTCTGGAGTCCCTGCCTTCTCTGGAGTCCCTGCTTTTTCGGGAGAGGCTGCCTTCTCTGGAGTCCCTGCTTTCTCTGGAGTTCCAGCCTTCTCTGGAGTCCCTGCTTTTTCTGGAGATGCAGCCTTCTCTGGAGTTCCTGCCTTCTCTGGAGAGGCTGCTTTCTGTGGAGTCCCTGCTTTTTCTGGAGTTCCAGCTTTTTCTGGAGTCCCTGCTTTCTCTGGAGTTCCAGCTTTTTCTGGAGTCCCAGCCTTCTCTGGGGAGGCAGCCTTCTCTGGACTTCCTTTGTCTGGTGTCCCAGCCTTCTCTGGAGTCCCAGCCTTTTCTGGACTGCCTGCTTTTTCTGGAGATCCTTTGTCTGGAGTGCTTGGTTTTTCAGGAGATGCTATTTTTGATGGGGATTCTACTTTCTCTGTTCCTTCTTCCTCCTCTGCTACCTCCCCCTCTTGATCACCACCTCCATCTTCTTTACTTTCTTCAGTCACAGGTGATTTGGGGGGTGATTTGGGAGGAGACGTTTTCATCTTTTCTACCTTCTCTGGTGCAATGACTTCTTCTACATCTCCTTCAGGTTCTTCTGCTACTTCAGCTTCAGCTTCCTCAGCTTCTCCTTCTCCGGCCTCTTCTTCTGCTTCTTCCTCACCTTCTTCCTTTTCGCTTTTTTCTTCTTCTTTTTCTGATCCTTCTTGTGCCTCATCAGATTTTGCACCTTCCTCTTCTTCTTCCCCTTCTTCTTCTTCTTCTCCTTCTGGGATGGCAGCTGCTACTTTAGCCTTTTCCTCTGCTACGATTTCCTCTTCTAGAACTTCCTCCTCCTTTTCTTCAGCTGCTCGAGTTTCAGCAGCCAGATCTTCAGCCATGGCTTCAAGAGCTTCATCCAGTTCAGTTTTCTCGTTTTCTACTTTGGTCTCTTCAATGATCTCTTCTACAAACTTGTGTTGGACCTTTAGTTTTGGTGCTTCAGCTTTTGATTTCTGTATTTTGGTAGTTGATATTGTGACGGAAGGTTGCCTATGTGTAAATGTTGGCCCAACGATGCTTCCAGAAAAGGCACTGAATCTTGTTTCTTCACCCTCAAGAAGTTTCCTACAGAAATAAGAGGGAAACTGTTAATATGCATCACCAACATCTCAAGGCAAAGGTGTGTATGCATATGTGTGTGTATAGCAATAGCAGTAGCAGTTACAGTCCTCTCCAAGTGGTTTACAGAGTCAGCATCTAGCCCCCAACAATCTGAGTCCTCATTTTACCAACCTCGGAAGGAGGGAAGGCTGACCTTGAGCCAGTGAGGATCAAACGCCTGGCAGTCAGCAGAATTAGCCTGCAATACTGCATTCGAACCACAGCTCCTTGTATACACTCACAGACAGAGAGACATCTCTGTAAGAAGCTGAAATGGGTTTAAAATATAGTCTCTTTAGTAAGAGAGCATCTTATGTGCCTTAATATTCTCTTTCTGAACCACTTTGCTGATATGAATGGAAGAGATACAATTGGTCATTAACTTCCCATTCACATCTTCCTCTCAAGATAAGAGGAAATAACAATCAGCTCACTTGCTTCCCATACATCTCCATAATTTATATCTTCATTTTCCAGATTATGTACATTTCCGAGAGGTCATTCATGAATACAAAGAGGCGTCTACTTTTAGAAGTACTAAGAATCCTTGTATTGCCTTGAAGAGCATTGCATTGGTTTAAAGAGCTGTTGCCTGAGCTGGAATGCAGATTCAGCCCAGTGACCAATGTAATTTTTTTTTTATCAGTGACAGTGGCTAAATTGTGCCCTTTGCGTATTTTTTTCTTTTTGTAGTAAACTAATAATACCTATAGTTGTTGCTCTTTTCCTCGTGAAGAATTAGCCACTTTGAATGCCAACACAATTGACCACTGGACTTTTTTTTTTTTTTACTCCACATACTTTTGTCATTAAAGCGAACAAAAAAAAAATGAACCATTAAAATGAAAAGTATGATTATTCTTAGAGCAATTTGCTTTGCATACATGTACATCAGCACATTCTAGCACTTTCAAAATAGGTCTATGTTGGAAACACAGATGTTCAAATTCTTCAAGGAAGTTTAAATATTTAAGTATTATGACTTATTGACATAGAATTAAAATCTCTTCTTGGATAAAAAAAGATAGGCATGCCAGCCATCAGTAGCAGCATCCATCTAGCAAAACGAAAAAAAATCCTTTATTTGTAATCAGATATAAATGTTTACTATGGATAACCAGGGCCAATTGCCAGCTATTTGTTTGTGATCAAAATAGTTCCCTAGATTAGCAATTTCCTGGAGCTTTTTTATCTGATTTTGGAAAAATCCCAAATAATCCTAAATAAAGATAAATAAATAAAGTTTAATAGCAATGACGTAATGGTGTAGCTATGTTACTAATGTGAAATTAAAAATGTTCAGTTTAATTTTCCTTCTGGGGTTTCTAAAGGCGTTTAAAAGTAGAAAATCTTCCATTCCAGTTTGGAGCAGCTATATTTTGTGAGTAACAAAATGAGAGAGAGAAAATGAAGTTCAAGGAACAGCACCCGCTAGTCCTACTGACTTCAGCAGGACATGGTTAATGTGGTAGCTCCATAGCATAATGCTGCTACCCAAATATAAGTTTAGTTGACTTCAGCAGGACTTAATAATTATACTTAGGACAGCAGCATAGTCCATTGAAAATCACTGTGGATCTCTTTCAAGCCAGTAAGTGTTCCATCAAAGGAATTGTGTGGCTTTCTACTACACAGAATACAGAGTTATTTAAGAAGCAACAAGCATAATTACTGGACCAGATATATAAATTCAAAGAGTGCTAAGACGCCAGCGAAATTCTCAGCTAGCAGTCACAGTGCCTCCTCTGTTGCAGATGAATTGTGCTGCAGCTTTAAAAAGTGTCTGCAATAGAAACTGCCTGTCTGGTTACATCTGCATTGCGTTCTCAGTACCTGTAGGCAGCAATTTCAATGTCAAGAGCCATCTTGACGTTGAGGAGATCTTGGTATTCCCTCAAATGACGTGCCATCTCCCACTTCGTACCTCTCAGCTCATTTTCAAGCTGTTGGATCGTGTCCTGCAACCAAGATACAGATGGTTCTTTAGCATGGGTACAAAAAGCTCACTACATTTGGATACTGGGGGGGGAGGGGGATTGAAGGAGAAGATAAAGTGGGAAAGATAACAAACTAGAAACAGAGATTTTATTTAAAAAAAAAACAGATTGAAAGCAGAAAGAAAGGATAATGAATTTAAAATTTTATCTTGACCAGAACGAATAGTTTTTTATTTTTTACAGCATTATAAAAAATGCCCAGTGCTGATGAAGTTCTAGGAGCTCAAAGCCAAGAAGCAATAGAATTTTAGTATACAATTATTCTTTTGTAGAGAAGATCCTTATTGGAGTATCCCTTTTATTAAAAAAAATCTTAATAAACATTTCTAAAAATTAAAAGATTTTTTCCAATCCGGCACTCTCTAAATGCTCTGGACTAGACACCTCATCAAGTCCAAATTGGCCAAGCTGGCTAAGGCAGATAGGAATCAGGCTAAAAAAAAAAAAAAAAGGTTGAACCTAAAAATGTCAAATGTCTGATGGTTATCTGGACTCAAGTTTTCTTTTATAAATCATGCCATTTTTGTGAAAATAAATTTTGGCATCTTGAGAATCAGAATCATCTCAGTTGGGCAGGAAAAGAGGGATCTTGAAAAATGATCTCTTTCCGAACAACAAAAATGCCTGTAGCTGTTTGTACCGCATAGATACACATCTCTGAGTCAGCACTGACTTGGCTAGTTTAGTCCCTGAAGTTTTGTTGGCAAGATTTGGGAAGTGGTTTGCCACTGCCTGTTTCTTAGGGCTGAGAGTATAATCCAGTGCAGTGAAGATTAACACAGGTTTCAAATCAGTGAGAACCAGTATATCTGGACCAATAAATTCTTTTGACTGGTCTGGGTCCCCCAAATTCTGGGAGCAGCTATGAACTTCCTAACTCTTTTTTATTAATCAAGATTCAAATCAAATTATTGGCCCAAAGTCACCCAGTTCTGCCTAAAGTGGGACTGAACTCGAAATGTGCCGGTTTTTAGCTTGGTGGCTTAACCACTAGACCAAACTGTCTCTCTGCAGCAAGTACTTAGGATTATTTATGTACTGCAGCTAAAATGGTCAGCCAAGAAGCTTCCTTTTTAAAAACCAGTTGACTTTGATCTGAATAGCGAGAGGTGACTCTTTTTCCAATTTTGGTTCAGCTTTCTGAAAAGGATCTCTATCCAAAGATCCTCTGGAATAGCATTTCAATGACAGCAAGAAAAGGTAACTTAGTGGAGGGAGTGGTTCAGTTTTGGCAAGGTGGATGATGCAGCAGAGCTAGTAATTATATCCTAATCAAATCCTAAGGAATTTAATACAGGTTAGCATTAAGTCTTCAGAACTCATGGGAACAATATGGTACTTAACGCCCAAGACAGATTTTCCATATCTACAAGATTTTTACTAGGAAAAAAAATATATTTGGGCAATAGATAGATTGGGAAATCTCTGCAGCCAGGATCTTCATTAAGTTCAGATAATTCCTGCAGTGCAAGAGATTTTTCCCTGGGCAATCCCAATGAATGTGACATTGGTTTTAAGTTGTCATTAGAAACTGAATTTTTGGCATATAAAGAAAGCTGGTGCTATTAAGTGATGAAACCTTTGCTCTGCCTTGGACGTTGCAGTTATACATTCTGTCACTGTTTCCATTTTTCACTTCTGCAATGGCCAATTTTGCAGCTGTAAGGGAGATGACATTGCATCAATTTCTGAAATACGGGTAGCTGGAGGTTAAATTATCCCAAGAAACACAGCCTATCTGATCTGCTTGCTGACTGAGGTTTTTCCTAATTTTAAAGGGTTACATTTCTTTTTGTAATGCTCAATGTCACTCAAGAGCAGACAACTTTATGACTTTTGACGCCAGCCAAGTTCTGCATTGCAGAACCTCGGGGTGGATTGGACAGGATAAGATTGCATTAGACTGACGGACTTCCTTCCTTTTCTCTTTTTATCTTCTTCCTAAAAGTTAATTCAGGGAAAGTCATTTAGATTTGTAGAGTCTGCTTTCCAAATGGCCTCACGGAGGATGATTAAACTGGATTTGAAATAAAATAGCAGCATGGAGTCTCCTTTTGCACTGGACTAGTCTGTTCAGAGCTTGGCTGAGCAGAAACCCCTTCTGCATTGCAGGCAATTGCCTCCTAGAAGCAAATGTTACTGTCTGTTAAAAACAAAACACAATGACTGTCACTTTCAGGTTATAACGAGTGATCTTGCAACTGTCAGATTCCTGCTGAGTCATCAGCCTGCAGATGGATTTTTGAGAAGTGTTAAGGAAAATAACTTTGATATCCTAGAAATGTTGGGTTTTTTTAATTGCAGGTATGCTTAAAGCACAGTTTTATATGCAGATTGTTCCCATCTTATCATTTTATCTGTTGTCTCTCATTTTATAGCCTCTTTAGGTCTATAGAAAAAATAATAAATACAAGAAGAGTAGAGCATTCTTGATTTGTTACTTGTTTCAACTCTTCCATCATTTAGAACTATGTTAATGGATTACAAAAACCCTACTTATAGGACATGGCTTACAACTTAGATGCTTTGCAATTCCGACACAGAATCATATTTGATGCTCAAGCACAAAACATTAAGTATTTATCAGTGCTGACGACTGAATAGAATACAATTCATAAGTGCTTTTCTTTTTCTCCACCCCTCCCCCCAGATCCACTTTTTTGGATGCTGTTGGAGAGGCAGGTTTGATTAAGCTTATTAGCAATTAAGGCAATCCTCTGAACATTATTAAAATGTCTCAATTTATTCCTTTTGCATAGTGAATCTCTCCTATTTTGCCTTTTTAAAACCAATCCTTTGGGGGTTTTTTGGTCAACATTAGTAACCCTTAGAAAGAAATTGGAACTTGAATTAACTTTGAAGCCTTCTCTCCCTAATAGTGCTAATAGTGTTTGGAAATAGATTGCTGGGACTGTGTACAGAACCAATTTTCCTTCCCTAATCCCTTTTTCAGCAGCTGCATTTTTAGAGAGAAAACCCCAAGAACTGCATTTCTTTTTATCCCAAGCTTCTCCCCAAGCAACTTCTGATCCAGCACAAATTCTATTTGATGGAAATCAGTTGCATAGTCTTCTCAATCTGTGCATTTTTGGATGGCCTGAAATGAAAGTACGATTTATTTATTTTTTAAAAGGACTCTGCATCTTATGAGCTTTGAAGTGCCATTTCCCATTCCAATCACCCCATTCTGTTACAAGATGACATCTCTTGAGGTGATGTCCCACATACTAGAAGAATAAAACTTCCTCTTTGCTCCATTCCCCCCTCCCTTTTGTGGCACCCCTCAAGAAACTGTGTTAGGCCCCCCCCTCTCTCTGCACCCCTGGCAGAAATTCTGGGGCTGGCACACTCACCCCCAAAGGGTGGGAACTGCCAAGCAAGACATTGGAAGGAGGCCAGGAAGAGCAGAAAAGCAAGAGGCATCTCACAGAAGTATTGTGACACTGATCTATTCCCCAAAGAGGCATAAGGAGAAATTTTGTCTGGTCACTCCCATTTTATAAATGGATTTGCCCTGCAGCTATAACTTATGGATTCCAGTTTGACTCAGATTTGCAATTGGGACGTCACAAAGACTCTCCCATTTAGTAGGGATGGTTGAGCTAATGAGGAAGGAGATAGCGTTTACCTTCCGTCCTTTTCCTGCCCCTCCCAGTTCCATTATGTCTGAAAGCTGGCAAAATCCTCCCCCCCCATTTGACTGTGGGGAATAGGCCTCTTCCTGCCCCATTTCCATCCCCCCACAGCAGGAATGTTAAAGCTGAAAGCCCCCCTTGGATGTTACCATCTTTCTCATGGAGGTGGGTGCATCAGTTGGTCTCTCCCCTAGTGTCTTAGTTTAACTTAGACAGGATGGGCTCTTTCTCCTCCTCCAGTTATTGTAGGGACTTATTGTTTTTTCATTTCCCAAGTCCACTCCCCCTCCCATCCCGCCACACCCCCTTTGATTTAATCTTTCATTTATCCATGAAAAGGAGCCCCCCTCCTCCTCCTCTTCACCCCTCCCCTGTCGCAATCCGGGGGGGGGGTGTTCTACAAGCTCCAAAAGAACCCGGTTCCAGGAAGAGTTTCCCCTCCCTCCCTCTCACCCCCCCCCCGAGATCATCTATCCGAGCCCTTGGCTTACTTGGTAAGTGGAGAGATCCTGGTTGTGGCGTTCCTCAATGTCGTTCAGCTGGCGCTCCAAGGACTCCTTCGTGCCGCGGACGGACTCCAGCTCGATGCTCTTGGCCTGGAGCTGCCGCCGGTACTCGGAGATCTCTTCCTTGGCCGAGCGGATGGCTTCCTTGTTCTGCTCGGCGGCCTCGGTGAGCTTGGAGTAGCGGCACTTGAACCACTCCTCGGCCTGGAGCATGTTCTGGTCGGAGTGGCACTCGAGCTGGGAGCGGATCTCCTTGAGGGCGGACGAGAGGTCGGTCTTCAGGTAGTCCTTGCGCTCGACGGAGACGTGCGAGGCCTGGATCTGGGCCAGCAGATCGGCCACATCTTCATCGTGGTTGCCGCGCAGGAAGGCCACCTCGTCCAGCAGAGACTGCACCTTCTTGTCCAGCTCGACCTTCACCAGGGACGCCTCGTCCATGTCCTTCCGCAGGGCGCGGGTGATGGCGTCGGCGTCGTCGCGGAGGCGCGCCTCGTCCTCGAAGCGCTCCTTGAGGCGCTGGATGTCCTCCTCCAGGTGCTCCGAGTCGAGCTGCAGCGCCGCCTTCTCGTGGTTGACCTGCTCCAGGGCCACGCGGAGCTCGCGCAGCTCCTGCTCCAGGGCGACGCCCAGCTGCGAACGGCCCACCTGCTTCTGCCGCAGGGCGGCCAGCTCGACCTCCAGCTCCTTGTTCTGCTGCTCCAGCGAGTGCACCTTCTCGATGTAGCCGGCGAAGCGGTCGTTCAGCCCCTGCAGCTGCTCCTTCTCGTTGGAGCGGCTCAGCTTCAGCTCCACCGTCCCGCCGCCAGCGCCGGCGCCAACGCCGCCGTTGAAGAGCGACGACTGGCTCAGCTCAAGGCTGTCGGTGGAGCTCAGCACCGTCGAGCCGTAGGAAGTCCGCCCGGGGCCCACATTGCGCTTGTAAGCCGACGAGGCCGGGCTGGGCGAGCTCCGAGACCAAGACTGAGAACGGAAGCCGCTCGAGGGCGACCCGCTGGCTCGGCTGAAGGTGGTCCGGCTCTCGGCCACCCGCCGGTAAGACGGGTTGCTTAGCGGCTCCAGCGTGTAGCTCATCTTGGAAGACTTAGGAGAGGCGCCTTGGGCGGGTTTCCCGGCAGCGGACGACTCTGGAAAGCGGCGCCTTTTATATCGGAGCCGCACATTGTCTCCAAAAGGGGCGGGCTGGCCGGCATCGCGCGTGCCGGGGAGGCGTGGCCAAGGACGCCCAAGTCCCACCCTTGGCGGCCAAGCCACGCCTTTCCCCTCTCGCTTTCTCCCCCGGCCAGGAATTTCAGCCTAATTCCAGCTGTCCGTTTCTGGTCCCATTCATCAGCCTCGTTCTTTTTTTCCCCCTTCGGCCTGTATTTTCTCTCCCTTCCTTGTATCCCTTGAATGTTACCTAAAGCTTTAACTCACAGGGCGATACGTAGTCCCCTTCCTCCCCAGGTTTCGTGCCTTTCTGCTTTCTGGTACCAAGTGTGCACCGGACTGCATTCATAACCAAGTCTTCCTCTTCCATCCCTCTTCCCATTGTTTTTTATTACTGTTACTATCCGCATGTATTCCCCCCCCCCGATTGGTTTTTTTATGTATGCTTTTTCTTGATTCTTCTCCTTCCTCTGCCTTTCCCCTTCTCCCCTCCCCTCTCGCTTTCCCATAGACGCCGTTGCGGCAGCGGAGGTCTAGGGAGCAGCCGGGCCCAGTTCGCTGCCTCCCCTCCCCCCAACGCTCTGGAAGTGGCGAGATGGAGAGGGCGGTGGCGGGATGGGCCATCGCCGAATCCCCTCCCTAAGGAGAACATCCCGGCAAGCAGGCCTTGTGCTTAGGTTGGGGAAAAGGGTCTGGCTCGGACGGGTTCAGGTAAGGCGTGTGTGTCTCGCTGGGGGCAGCCATGGCGGTTTCAGCACCAAGGCCAGTTCCGCGAGAGGCAAGGACAGCGCGCCGGGCCGGTAGAAAGCCAGAAAGTGAACGAGTGGCCGAGTTTCTATAGGGCGCGTGAAAAGGCGTGATTTCGGCCCTCTGGACGGCAGGTCCGAGCAAAAGCGAGAGTCTTGCCGCGTGTCTGCGAGTATCTGCATGCCTGGAGTTACTTTTCCATCTGCAATGCAGCGTTTCAGAGGTAGCAGGAGACGGGAACCTTCTGAGTCCCGGTTAAGATTTTCTTTTTCCTGAACACATTAAAAAAAAAAAAAAAGGATTTCTTTAAAAGAAATCCCTGACAGTAAAGGTGTTGTTTCTCAAGGACTTGACACTGAAAGGTCAGTCATTCTGTATGTTAAGGGGGGGGAGGGGAATTCAAAAGGTGTGGCTGCTTTATGATAACACAAAACACTCAGGGGAACCACAGTGGCTTAAGAAGCAAAAAGAAGGGAGTAATTGGAAATTCAGCCCAGCAGATTGCACATTGACAAGAATAATAATACTTTTAAAATGCTGAATCATTTTTTATATCTGCCCCCACCTGTTCTATGGATGCTACCTATGCATCAAATCACCTGTCCACATTGCGAAGTCTTTTGCAAACATCTTCCCTCATTTGGGTTGGGAATTTTTATCCCTGCCCCCTCTGGTAGTAAGTTCTAGTAAATTAAACAGTTTTTTTTTCCTTCTACAGAAGTTGTCTGCAGCACTCGGAAATGGTACAGTCGTAGGTTAGGCAAAAATCAGCACTCATTTGTTTCAGGATCCTTCCTTTGCGTTTGATGGAATCATTCTTCAGAGTTTTTAAAAAAATAGCATGACAATTTAAACATAAGCTCTATCTAAAGAAAGTAGGCGATCACCATCTTGAAATAAATTAAATGGTTTTGTTAACATGCCAAAGGTGCAAAGGAAAAATAGTTTCACATGTTGAAATGATTCAGGTAATTTTTTTATTATGAAGTAAGTTCTACTGCATACAAGGAGTCCTACACCCAACTAAGGGCACACCAGAATGCAGCTTCCCCCCCCCAAAAAAAACTTCTGGGTTTAGTAGAGCCAATACATTTGCCATATGATTGTGAACTTTGCTAATTGTCCCCACCACTTTTGCTTGATGCAAAGTAACAAAAGATTGATTTTTTTTTTTGCTTTAGGTGTCATTCCTCACTTTATCCAGGGTCGGAAGAGCAAGAGGCAACTTTGAAAGCCATGGGCAAAGACATCAGACAATTGTTGGCTCATTAATATGGTGTTGCCATAGAACTGCAGCACTGCAGTCTTTATAAAAGGAAATCTGGGGCAGGAGACACTGGGGTGTTTTCTGAGATATTTCTGCATGTTTAGACTTCTCGTTTAACCTCCCGAGGGTGCGTGACCAGACAAAATTATTTTTAAAAAGCATCCAGCCTTTTGCATTCATTCAAGGTTCAGCATCTCCATTTCCAGTTTATTTTGCCATCCAGCAGGGGAAAACCATCTCTTTAAGGTTACCTTAAAGAGAAAAGAAGAGCAATCAAAGACAAAAATTTGGATGCCAGGGAGATGTAGCAAGATTTCTCAAAGTGTTAACCTAAATGTGTAAAGTAAAGAACTGTCTCTGATAATTTGAATTTTGCTCTGGGCAAAAGAATGTCTTGTTCTAGCACCTAGTGGGAAAACCTAACTCGTCAACTTGTCTTTCTCTTTCTTTTTCTGTCTCTGCTTTGCACGATGCACAAGATCAAGCATAATGATGCCTCAACTTACAATCCCATCCCATTAAAATGGGTGCTATTTCCCCTGGTGTAAATAGCTCATTTTCAAAGTTGACACACACATTCTTTGGGATAGGAAGGTGTTATGTGCATTTTTATTATGGCATTAAGTTCCACTTAGTTCTAAATAAAAAATGTATGGGTATAGATTTTTGTTAAGGTAAAGTTCTTATTAAAATCACCATCATCATCAAATCTCATTTAAGGCAACAATAGTACCAGATATTTACCTGCTAGAATATGCAGAACTAGATGGAATTTCATGTTAATAACCCCTACCCCCAAAGTCAGCATGGATTTTAGGCTTCCTGAGCTTATAATATTAGTTCAAAGGGCATAAAGCATGATATTTTTGATTTAGTTTTAGAGTTTGGTCTAAGTTGTTTAGAATTAAAAAATGCCATGATTTTGAACAATGGATAGTAGTTAGTCTAAAGATGCCGAAGAAGAAAAAAACATTGTATAGCAAAAGAGGGTGGAACCTTAATATTGTAGTAGATTGTGGAAAGCAATATTATAATATTTTCTGTTTTCATTAATTAGTGTGAGGTATGTATTCCTCAGCATCCATCTAGCTTATTCATTAAATAATGTTTATCTAATATATTTTTATTTAATTAATATATGAAGCCTTTTCTTGTCTAACGATTTCATGCAAATATTCTGGCATTCCATCTCTCTTAAAAAACACATTATTTGAAAGTATCACTGCCTGCTGTTTTTACTCTTCCTTCTTCAGACTGATGTTACCGAAAGCAAAAAAGCTGCTTCCAAGTAAGTGAATTATGATTTATTAGTAAAGGGGAATGTATGTGTGCAATTGAACTATTTCAATGAAAAAAAATAATAGTCAGGTATTCATTTCCAAGGATTTTAATTCTCAAGAATTCTGACATTGGAATGGACAAATATTTCCAGTTCTTACATTTCAATGAAGGTGATGTGTAGGTTAAAATAAATTGGTAGTAAATAATTGGTAGTCTGTGTCCACATATCTTTCAACTTTCTTCTCCATTCTATATCATCTCATTTCTCTCTCTCCTTCTGCATACAATCGAGCTGCAGATATTCCGTGGACTATCATGGGATTTTAAAAAAACCATGCAGGTTTGCAGGAAACTTCTTGAAGATCAAGAATATTTTATAGTTTACTATTACTTCAACTGTGTTTAATAAAATGTTATTTAGATAAAGGCTACTGAACTTAATAAGATGAAAGTTATGATCAAGACCCATTGATTTCTGTGGAGATATTTTAACCATGAATAATTCTGCAGACTCACATCTTGATAACAGAACCCACTTAACTCAGAAGAATCTACTTCAGATGTGTAGAACTGAACTGTTTAAATGGATCCAATCTGTTGATTCAGAAGAAATCATCTTGGTTTCATTTCCCCAGTTCATATAACAACTTTCCTCAACTTCTGGATGTCTTATAATAAATTCCAATGATTCTCCAGGTAATATGGTAATTTTTCCTTGCATGATGAGAAAAAAATTATCCTAAAGTATGCTGCCTTTGTGCACATTTTTCTTAAAAATAAACTATTTTTAGTTGGATGTATCCCCAAATCTCCCAAAGTGCAGAATATTGTGCTTAAGAGCATTAAGGATCATACATAGATTTCTTTGACAACCTGGGTAGGTCCACACAAAAGAGTGACATTTCAAAATTCCCCTCAATCCTTTGAATTAGTCAACTCTAACTTCTACGTAAGAATATAAAGATAAAATAACAGGAAAGGAAGGAAAAAAGAGAGAAAGAAAAAAGTAAGAACGTAATAAAGAAAGCAAACATATCAAGAAGTGGCTTCTTGCATTCATCACAAGTAATAATTATAGTAATTGTTTGTTTGTTTGTATCCTGCCTTTATCACCTTTTCTTAAACACAACAGATCTCTTCTTCCCCCATAACCCATCTCTAACCTATAAACAAATACATAAAATAATCATTTCAGTCTTGATGTTAACAAAAGACTTAAAGCTTAGTCTTTAGTCCAATCAAATAATGTTGCAGAATATTTGCTCTTTATTCCTTCTCACAAGATTCTTCATAACTTTAACAAGTCTCTTTTGTAAATTCAATATAAGAAAATTATCCAGATCACTCTCTTGATTTATTGTTTGTATATCCATTTTAATTCTCAAAGATGCTTTTTCAAATGCCAATTGGCAACCCAACCATCCAGTCAGAACTGATGAAGCTTCTTGGATGAGAAGAGAAACGTCTTCTTCAAGGAAAAAGCATAGTCCAGTTGCCTTTTGAAAGAGCACTTTTGAGACAACCATGACCTGGATGACTTAGAATCTCCATAGACATTCCTTTTAATCATTAAGTCATCAGTTGCTTTCTTTTGTATATTCAATGTAACATCTTTTCCCATTCTTGTAGCCTGTCCTTTGTAAATTCACTTTCAACTCAGTCTTGATCTTGTCAGATAAAACTTGCTC